CTGAACGGACATCGTCGCTCATAAATAACAATTCGTAACGCTCAATTTACGCGCAATACAGTCGTGCACGTTGCTTTTTACCACCGATAATTTGTGTGCAGAGACGGAATGAACTCATCAAAGGAAGTGATTATGTATTTTTAAATCTGCAAAAAAATGATGCAGCAAAAAGTAGACACATCGTTATGAATGCAACGAAAAATATCTCTTGTAATCGATCATTATCTATCCAATTATTTAATTCTTTGCAAATTCTCCTGTTGCTTTCAGGAGTTAGTGAATTTTGAATGTCTTGAACGCCTTTAAACAATTTCGATTCGTTTCCTAAAATGTGCCCTCTAATGAATAACGATTTATCGTTCATATCTTTCGGCGATAAGCTGCAACGTTTTTTGCATCCAATGAATAGCATGCGCCGTATTATTGTTGTTAAATTTAGGCTATGCATCTCTTAGTATCACTTATGATAGCTGCATCATCAGTTTCAACGAAATCAGTGAGTGTATTATGAAATCGTTGCTAAAGGCAATCGTGTAATGAATATTGCTCATTTATGTGTTGGTCATATAACGAACCACTTAAAACCTGTTCACGTATCATCTCTAAGGAAACCAATCCCGTGCATATCACACTTATTCACATTAACATTAATCCTACCAATATCTTCATATATCCACACACATTTCACTATCTCTTCCATATATTATACCACCATACTGAAACACGTTCGCACTAAAAATGATCAATTGCTTTCGTTGAAAAGCGAATAATCCGTTGTCGGTGATTTATGGATTCGAATTTCAGCAATAAACTCAAAAAATCGTATCACTTTCGTTGAACCCAACTCATCACTGTCGGTACGTGCTAATCCCTCGGAATTACTTGAATGGAGTAGTGCTGGCGGTTAAACACTGTACTTAGTGTGCTTTTCAGAATCTGAATGGTTCATGGGTGCTGGTTGAGTTGGTTTCGCACATCAATGAACTCTGGATATGGACTACTAATGGAATTGTAAATTAGATGATTGCATAAGCACCCTGTAATCTTGATTAAATATGTCAGGTGGGCTCAGTGACGACTATCAGTGGGATCAGTGAATGATGAATGATATCTTAACGTGTTACAATGTGAAACAGCTCATTTGCACAAATAAGATTGAAGGGATTTTCCCATTGGGGTTGTTGATCATAATGTAATACTGCGTGCAACGAGTGAATTGAGACACATAACAATCTAAAGATGAGAGAAAACGTTTGGTCATGTGAATGTTTGCGAATTGAATTAATTATGATTATGAATAGCTTGTATGTTTATCAGTTGACCATGTGTTTCATTAATGATTCGATTGTGGAATAATTCCATGCGCTTCGTTACAGCCAGAGTGTCAAGCTGAGCTCGTGCCTTCACACCTTCAGTTCAGCCTTTAATTACCGTTGAATCGCAACGAAATTCTACGAAGTGACTTGATAAATACGAATTTGAATATGATTTTCTGCCAACCAACTAGACGTCAGATGCCACTTGTTGGCATTTCTTTTAGGCCATTATCCAGATATCACCTCAATTTTTTTCAAAAATGAGAAGTAGAATTCATTCATCATTCATGGTCGAATAATTTTTCTTATCGTCCTCAATTGTGGCAGACAGTTGGGTCACAAAATGCTCACGAATGATGGGTATCTTGCTGTAACAGATGAGAGGAATTTCAAACCTGAATTAACGATTATTTGATATCCATTTGATATCCATCGCTTTCGTAGTTTCAGAGCCTGTCCTTTACCAATGTTGCTTTCTCATATTAATAACATCGGTCTCACATGCTCCCTCAGTCACCTGAAAGTGATTGTTTTGGTATGAATAAGCACAGTCGAACGAGATTATGAATGCAAACGAATGCAATCTACTGGAGAATGATGAATTTTAATAGATGTTTGTTGATAGATTAAACGAGCCTGAAAGTGTGACAGATTGAGCGATGAGTGAAACAACGGGATGATGATGTTGCAGAAATGATTTTATTCTGCACTCAGCATTTGTCATCAACCGTGCTCATCATCGAGTCAATTCAAGTCAAGTCAACGAATTACATATCAAAACAAGATTGATAACATCATTCTCATCCGGCGTTCTTTCCCTTCTCATTTTTCGCTTCAATAATTTTTCATCTTTTTGCTGCTTCTACTCGATGTCATTCAACGATGATCCACTGGGATCGATCATCTTCATCAGCGGTGCATATCCATGTCCACACTCAAATTTACTCACTCTTACGAAAATGAGGATTATTTTTCGATGCATCACCTCTCTGTGATAACTGAATTTGGAAAAAAANAAAAAAAGATTCCACTTTTACGATGCAGTTCCAGCATCAACAGATGATGGTGATGGTGTTTTGAGCGAACGAACGAATGTGCATAAGAGAAACAGGGTAACGAGTGAGAATTTGAAAGGTCGTTTTTATAGTTTATTCACTTCATGCGAATATCATCGTTGATTTATGCGCATTTATTTTGTAAAGAACACCGCCATTTGTTGTTTAGCTAACGTTTTTATGAAACGAATTTATAAAGCGATTGATAGATGATGATCGATAGATATATCGTTTGCTGAAGACATCTCGGTCATAAAATTCTGTTTATACAGTTGTATCACGTTCATAAAACAAACATTTTCCACTCTCAAATAGCACACATGTTTCAATAATCATTTTTCGAATCATTATCTCACTTATCCGTTTAATGCTTTTCCAAATTGTTCCACTACGCACCAAATCATTTCCGAACTCTTCTCTTCTGAATTCTGATCGTTATGCTTTCTCTTAGCCATGAACCATAAAGCGATTCAGTGGGTGCTGCCAAAGACGTTTCACCTCGTCACCAAAATGTCTTCCCTGTGCAACAAGTCAAAGTCCGTTTTCGGGGATGTAATGCATATAAAACGCCGAGACTTCTTGACTTTTAATCATACCAATCGCATCTAAAATCGTCTGGTTGAGATCTTCATCGACTGTGGTGAGCTTGAAGAAGCCGAAATCATCAAGACTCTTGAAAATAATTCTCTTTTCGTGATACGTAAATATTTCATTTGAAATTTCGTTTACTCGCTGTAATAAATCTGCTGAAAAAATCAGGGCTCATCGTTGTATGTAAATAATATTTTGTATCAAAAAATGACTCAGTGAATAGGGATAAGAAACGTGCGTTACACAACCAGTGGTATTATATTATAATAACTGTTATTCAACTGAGCATGAAAATACACTTCATTTTTCGTTTTGTATTTATTTTCGTATAAAAGAGATAGTTTGAATGCTGGCAATAGTGTATTTACTAATGCTAATTATCATTCGCCTATCATTCACACCTTCTTATTTTTTGCTGACATTGATTTTGTCATCAAGTTTACCGTTTTTCGTTGTGACGCAACATAAAGTAATGAGGTCTTCTAACAAATTTTACAGATTCACCATTAAATCTCAAAAATTATTTCATTCTCGCATTTAGGTTCCAGATGCTAATCCTCATATCTTCATTAGTTAGCATTTCTTGCTCGACATATTCGTTACGTTTTGGAATGAATCTGACTGATCGTTTTTTCTGAGAACGGAAATGTTTGAAATGTTGAGTGCAATAAACGAAACAAATGATCATTTGCTCACAATCAGTAAAAAACTTTTGTCATTTGAAGTGGATGAGCATTTGCTAATATGCATCCTCTAATTAACGCTACGAACTTTGCTTTCATCGATTACTTCTATAGTCATCTCACAATAATGCAACAGTCATTGTTACCAATCGTGATAATTATGCATGAGCAAATTTGCGCGTATGATCATAACTGTTCAGAACGAGTTGCAAAGCACAACTGATTGGATTATCCGAATGGAGAACATCATTCATTATAGTACCTAAATGTTTGTCTTCATTAGATGACTGAAATGAGTCTGAAATTGTGACGAAGTCAGCGAAGGAAAAAGGGGAAATGTTCAGATGCGTTTCTGCTCGAGCAAATTTATGTGCAATTAGCGATGTGGAAAGTTGTACAATCGATGCCCATCTTAAGGATGTCGCAAAGAGCGCCTTTCTACAATCACACTCGCTAAATCTAGGCGTAATTTAGTGCCAGATGCTTTTAGCCGTCACTTAAATGAACCAAGTAAAGCAATGCAATTTGTCAACGACGACGTCAACACTACTGCATCCTTGAGCATTCTAACTACCGTATTCCACGCACTCGTCAAATGCTCTAAAGAGCGTTATTACGAATACGTATGTAATTATTATACGCTCATTATCATGCACTGATTTGTAACAATAATCATTTCAGGATGAAACTGTGTCCATTCGCCGCATCGGTTTGGTGTGTCAGGTTGAGAGCATACCGTAATCGCTTCAACGAGAACTTCTTTCGAGGGCGATATTCGTTGGCGGGTATTAGCTGAATGGAAGTGATGATAGTATTGAGTGACCGAGTGAATAATCAAGATGAGAAAAAAGTATTTGTGAAATTGATTCAAAGTTGATGGGTGTAGCTCGAACCTGAGCACCAGGAGGTAGCGAGTTGGTGTACGCAACGCATTTCACCAGCAGCACCAATCAGCGATCAGCATGCCGCCATCGGCCACTCCCCTTACATTCACGGCGATCGCTGACGATTGTTGGCTATTGTGTGTTGGCACGGGCACGAAACGCGATTGATTCCTCGATCGTCGCATCGCTCTGGCCGTCTGAAAATCGCAACGTCTCAACGCTCTTTCGCTCCTCCTCCTCTCCTCGTGCAGCAGTGGTTCACTACTACCTTTCGCACGATCGTCGCCCTCTTCGTCTTATTCGTAATCGTAATCGCAGCACCTCACTTGCTCAAAAAAGCTCTTCTTATTTCGGTGTCGGTTGTGTCTCTTGTTATTGCTGCTGATCACCACAAAATACTTACTTCATTATTTTCGCTTTATTGAATATTATACCGTCGATAATTACTTTATTTATCTGAACTGTAATAGAATGATGATGATGGAAAACGATATGAAGCCACCGTCATCACTGCACGATGCGTACTCATCGCTGTACATGCAAAGTGGCTTTGCATTACCACCGACGTCCACATCGTCGATTCCGTCCGAAGAAATCGATCCAGATTCACCAGGCTCGCCTGGTTCGAAAGATAAGAAAAGCGATGATCGAGTAAAGCGTCCGATGAACGCATTTATGGTATGGTCACGTGGACAACGCCGTAAGATGGCGCAAGAGAATCCAAAAATGCACAACTCAGAGATATCCAAACGACTTGGACAGGAATGGAAATTGCTTAACGAAACGGAAAAACGACCATTCATTGATGAAGCGAAACGACTTCGCGCTATTCACATGAAAGAACATCCTGATTATAAGTATCGCCCAAGGCGGAAGACCAAGAATATTCCCAAAAAGAATGGACTATCGATGCCGTCCTCGTTCCTCGATCCCATCAAAACGCAGAACCTCTATCAGCCAATGGCCACCTCATGGCAACAACCCATAACATCTGTATCTGCATCACCGTACTTTGATTCATATCCGTTGTATGGTCGAGCGAATTACGAGAGTATGATCGGCATGCCATATTCACTAGCCAATACTGCATCACCTGCAGCTGCAGCACAATACCAACAGACTTCTGCATCATTGGCCGCAGCTGCTGCAGCACAATATCACCAGGTAGCTGCAGTTCAGCAGCAGCAGCAGCAGCAGCAGCAGCAGCAGCAGCATATGCAGCAACAACAACCGAATCAAGTGCAGTCTCAGCACTACACCAACAGCAGCACTGCGGCTGCATCCAGTATTGTATTACCTGTCAAGCATGAATCCGATACCACAACCACGTCCGAATCACCTGACTCGTCGTCAATTGCCGAGTCACCATTGGCTTCTCAGTTCCGTGCCTTTTACGAACCGCACAAGGACCCGATGAACATGTACTTGCCTCCGCAAGCTCACGATCCTCGACTTCAGTACGCCACGCTCAATGGTGTCGACTCTCATATGAATATCCCACTTCAGCATATGCAGTCCATGTGAGCTAATTTACATCTTCTATTTCCGTCATTCACTTCATCAACGTTTTTCACTTGCGAGCGCTTCGTTTCAAAACTAATTGCCAATTATTGTACTCGAATCACTCATCGCTCTATCGAAGCTTCTTTATTGAACATTTCATCACTTGTTGCATCACTCTTCGACTCTGAAAATGCAGTCGACTGAGGTTGAGGCCGACAATTGACACTCTGAATTCCACATCAGCAGAATGTTTGTTTTGAATATTGCATTTATTTAGAAACTTGAAAAGTGAATGAGTTTTAATAGGTAATGATGATTTGATAGGGCTGATTTTATTAAGTGGTCATCAACAATTAGTAATAGCATTGATGATCGTAATTTATTCGCGAGTGAATGCGTTAATGATTTCATTGAATGTAAATTTCATTGGTGATGGTCTTGGGAATTTCATATTTACTGCATTTTTCGAGAGAAGTTCACTGCTTCCTAACGCTAAACTTTTTTCAACCGAAAAATTTCCTCTTGTGATATGGTAAGGTCGGTTGAACTAAAATGCTGATTGATTGAATACTGTAATTCAAAAAAAAAGAAATCACCATAGCAGTGCTGAGAGTGTTGCGCCAATTGGCAATGTGATCACTTTCTTGCTCGTTAAATCATCCACTGAACAGTTGTCGATGAAGCATATAATTCCAACTTTTTGCTGTCTATCAAATACTCGTGATAATTCAGTTCGAAGAAGACTTTTTGAATGGAAAATATGCGAAGGAAAGCATGTGTTGCTAAGCAATATGAAGTTCTCGAGTGAGTGCAGTGCTGAATTAATGCCTCTAAGGTTACCCAATCCTCAACGCTATTTATTGTCATTGCTCTTATCATATTACATAATTGTGACGAGAATTTTGGATTACTGATAAACTCGATTCATTTCGTATGTGATAATCAGTGCTGGTGAGATGATAATGTGCTTGTATATGTATTGAAATCTTTTTGATACATCAGCATACACATACAGAAGACATATACCATACATCGTTGTCGTTTGATAGTAATAATAATAATGATAATGACTGTTATTATTATTATCGTGATTATGGTTATCATTATGATAGTTTATTGCAGTTTAATGCGCTGAAACCAGTCATGTTGAAAGATGCTCAGCAAGAACCTCATTAGTTTTTAAATTTCAAAGTACTCAGCCTCGCATGAACTTTGTTTTTTCATCAATTATTCAGCACATTATTATGTGTTGATTAGTTTCGTGTCTGTCATACAAAAGAAAACAAAGGCAGTCTGTTTTGTTTCCTCATCTTTACGTATATCAGTTTCCAACTTCGATTGCAGACATAGATTCTTTCAATCCTTTACATTGCTGACTAGATCCACGGTGATCATCTATAAAAATTTTGCTCATATTTAACAGAAGCAGTTAACATTCATGTATTAAAATTGAATGAATTTAGCAGTCCCCTTTCAACGCGACTTTGTTTTATGGTCTTTGGTAAAAAGCTTTATTGTGTGCATATATAACAATGATAATAATAATATTTATTATAATTTGCTGTTTTCATCAGATGAATTATAACCGTTTTGTACATGTTCTGTATGAATATAGGTTTGTATTTGATGCTTGTTCCAAAGTTTTTTTTGCGTTCCTTCATGTTTTTGATGATATGCTCTTTGCAGTTGGATTGAATTTAATGTTACAATAAAAGTAAATTCTACTTCACGCATTCAAACATTTCATTTTTGTTCAAGTAGCACATTCACGCAGCTTATTACCTCCAATATAATAGATCACTAATAGATCATGTTAGATATACGTCACACACTCCGCATACTGCAGCCAGCAGTTAATGACTATGCTCAAATTGCCTCGTATGAGTTGAAGTTGTTCATTAGCAATCCGTCGTATTTAGGTTTCCTTCCAAAACTCTAAGTATTTACAATAGATGTTGAAAGCATGCGAATCTAGATTCAGTCATGAACTACTGCATAACACAAAACAATAGTGTTCAGACAAATGGATCTGCGGGTCTGAAACGATGCCATTTATGGTTTCGATAATCGTAAGAATAATGGGTGCTGACGATAAATAAAGACACTTGAAACAGTGGTAACGATACCGATAAGTTTTGGTCGATTGTGCATATCGGTCAATTGGCTGAATATAATTTAGACATGAAGGAAGTTTAGCATGACAGGCATAGTTTATAAGAACGACAGAACTTGATGCATGTTTTTGAGAGAGGATTAGACGATTCACAAGCATCGGCTTAGCTGATCACCTTTTTCAGAAAGGGATTGGTTAGAAATAAGAGATGACGTGCGTGGTATTGCGTAATACGCCAATATACTCATTAGTTCATAATTTATGATGTCAGTAAACGTTTATATTGGAGAGGGAGTGTTTCAGTGATGAACGTCAAATGAGTTGATAAATGATTGATATGATTCAAGAATTGACGTTGAAGAGAGATGGATGATACGGTAGTTGGTTAGGGCGTTCGCTTCTCATCATCGCCATCTTACACGTTTCTCACGCCAAAAGTTCGAACGTGGTTCTATTGCAAGGCTCCTTCGATTAAAATTATTCACAATAAACAAATGCCATTTTGAAATGACTGCTTTCACAAGTGTCGATGTCATTAGTTTAAGAGTAAAGTTATCATAAGGAATGCCCATCAAGTAACGTTCTTTTCAGTGCTGCTTATTGTTTGTAATACATCTTAAACCGATGAATATTACTGCAACTGTACTGCGATTGCTCATAGCGTTATCTGAGTAATTTCGATTGGTCTGCTAACTCCGATTATAACTTTCGGCAACACGGCAATCATCCATTTCACATTTCCATGAAGGTCGGCTTTGGGGTGGAGGCAGATCGAAGTTAACCTATTTCCTTACTTGCTTCGTTCATTTTCTGTTTCCTCCCCCTAATCCGCTCTTCTTTCAGACCGGATTTATGACGTGTTTCAGTCTTTTTTCATTGATTCGTACTGGTGATCACTGGAAACCGACGATGCAATATCGAATCACGTTGAATGATGCTGTGTAGCCAACATTTGCGTGCAAAGTCAAAAAGGCATTTATGTTTTCATAATCCTTCACATTTGTCACTACGATACCAATGATTAAATGGGCGATGAGTGGGAATGAATTGATCAGTTAGTTAATTCACTGACGCTATCGTTGCAGTGAAAGCAAAATATTGCATTCTGAAGTGTTCGTTGCGAATGAATATCAAGAAGCTTCATCGAATTCAACTGAACTTGGGTATTTCTTTGCTTCACCCTCACTTCATTATCAGTCTTTCATTACATTTGGTCACCCGGAATATTTCCAGCTTCAGAGCAAAATTGTTCAATAAAATCTTGAGAAAACTAATAATCATGTGATCCCTTCTCGCCCTAAGATGAGAGAACGCGTCATTACAGTGAACAGCAGAAAAATAATTATATTCCCTTAAAAGAATGCCACTTGATTGAATTCTCAATGGAACGTTGATGTTTAAAAGTGACTGTAGAGATAGTTCGATCAACTAACAAATCCATTAAAATTTAATTGTTTCTCTCTAATTGACACATTTCAATGAATGATGGCCAATCGAAATGGTTATTGCATGAAGTAATGAGTGTGAATCGAATCCAAATGGCAATGACCTTCATGTACACCACGTCAAAAGTAAATACGTCTAAATCACAGTCATGTAAAAACCGATGCACTCTTATTTCGCGCATCTTGCCCTCTAAAAGCCATTCTCCTCACCATTCACTCATCAGTTGCGATGTTCTTTTTATAAGCTTAGTTAGCTTTTTATTGGTAATCAAAAATTTTTCAGTTTATTGATCGTCGTTAAGAATCGTTGCACAAATCCAAAATTTTCGATATGAGAAAAACTTAGTTTGAATTCATCGGTTGTGGTTCATCGATATGGTATCATCTAATTGGAGGGTTAGTAATGTTCCAACAAGGTTACACTCTATTCCAAATAACTCTGTGCTTAACTGTGATGCTCACTGCTAATGCATCTGTGCACACGAGTTGTTAGTGATAAAATTCCGCATCTAAATTTGAGAATGTTTCCGCTTATGACGCAACAAGAAATATTTTGTTACGTTTCAGTAGGAATATGATGCGATCGATCTCTATCGCTGTTGATCTGTTAATGCATGTTTTTATCATATGGCAGGATGCGATTATCTTTCACTTCAAAGTACAATACAATTATTTCGAGCATTCTGTTCATCAGAAAGTTCGAGTTGTGGCTAAAAGGAAGTGAAGGTGTTCCAGTAAAGTGTTCCATTGATGAATACAATTATTTATTCGTCGGAATTGTAGCTACAAGGAAGCGAAAGTATTCCAATAATAAATTACCCACTAAATTGTCTTTGGTTTATCATGGAATGACTTTAATGATGTATTTATCAATGGAGCTTGCTTTATTGACCGTTCGAATACGTCGATGGTTTGTGAAGGTTTGCACGTGAATGATTATGTCTTCTCCTAATGACATTTCCGGGATAAATTAGACTTTAAAAAACACTAAAATTTTCAACTTAGAAATAATGTTAAGTGAGTTTAATAATGTTATGTATGCACAATGCATTCTTGGTTAGATGATTCTTTGCAAGGAATCCTTTTAAAAAAAGTTAAACATTTCACTTCAACTTCAACTACTCAATCTTAGGCACGTGCATCCAAATAATAAATGATCGAAAAACGATTGAGCCTAAGTAAAAGTATCTCTCAGTTCTTGAATCACCAAGTAATGTTACACAAATGAGAAACAATCATTTCTTTTGAGTACGGAAACAGCTTTGAATTACTCGCACGTGATGGCGTTCCAACATTGTTACCGAGAAGCGCTTCATTTGATGCAAAACTGTTGCCACTATTCGAAAACGGTGATGACTGATCAATTTCATCAGAGACAAACATTCGCATGCTTGTGATGACATAACGTCGAGGATGATGTAATCCGTATGATATAACCTCTAATCGTAGTCTCCAGTAAACTG